TTCTCACGTTATGTAATGCTTTAAATATAGTTTAAAGAGATGAGAATGACTGAGAGATAGAGAGAAAGATAGGTAAAGAGCGAGAGATATAAAGACCAGAGATAGAGACGAAAGAGAGAGAGAGAGAGAGAGAGAGAGAATCATTTCCTTAAAGAAGAGAAAATCGCATAATTAATGAAATAATCAATCATTCATTACATAACAAAACAATTAGATTTAAAACAATTAATATAACTTAGAAATAGACTTAAATTAATTAAATATCTTAACATTTCTAACAAAATAGAGATGTAATTATGAAAATGATTGTCATTTTAAACTCAAAACAAGCGATACATTGGGGGAACCGTAAACTCGGAGCTCATTTGTGGTGCAATGATCTGAATGTTTGCAAAAATCAATTCAATTCTTCGACCACTTCTTGTGGCCAACACTTCCCGACAACTAAACTCTCCACAAATACGTTCCCACAAAACCCATTACCGCACGTACTATATTGACAGCCCATTGGCCGCAGTATTCAATGCGAGACAACACACTTGTACTGAATGTAAATGTGTTGTGAAGTCACGTGACATACAGTATATCCAGCACTGGATTCGTCTGCAGTGCTTACAAACGCTTTGAACGGCATTTCAATACAAATCAATACATTAAACACACATTCAATACATACCACACAATACACACACTGAGAGCGGAGAGACATCGCCAGTGATTCACCACAACAAACACAACACCAGTTTGTGTTATCACATGCCATACCATCACCGCTCTTATCATCACCACTACTACATCCCACCAGTCGTTCCACACCACCATATGAGCCGCTGAAGACACCCCAAAGACCAACACATTTGTTGTGATCACAGCTATTGTTGTAGTAGTGATGAGCGCCAACGGATCCGCCAATGGATGTAACGGCAAGTCATCGACAGTCGACCGAAGACACGAAGACACCAACGGTTACCACAAACACGAGCCGATCGTCACCAACGGACACGTGACTTATCAGCAAAACGGGACCAAACAACGGGCCAACGGTGGCCAACACGAGCGCAATGGCACCGTAACCACGGGTGTGACGACCACCACAACCACCACCACTACTGGGCGGACAGTGACCGTAGAGGAGGCGCCCTTTCACATCGTGCTGTGCTGTTACCTGTCGTACGCTGTGCTCATCCTATTTGGCTATTTGCGCGACTTTATGCGCCGGACGGGCGTCGAGCGGACGACTAGCGCCGTGGAGACGGGTCGCGACGGCTATGTGGCCCTCTATAAGAGCTTCGAGAGCTTCTACACCCGTAATATCTATCGCCGCATATGTGACGCCTGGAATGTGCCCATCGCGTCGGTTCCCGGCGCCACCATCCAGATCGTCGACCGCCTGACCCCTGATTACAATCACACCTTCAGGTATGCGCCCATTGAGTGCTCATTGTCTTTGTATTTAATCCCATTGTCTGTCTGTCGTTGTGTTTTCAATTGGGTTTAGATTTGTGTGGTTTGTGTCGTGCGATAGACTCTGATTGAGTCATCGATTGTATTGTCGTTTTGCGTGTTTTTTGTGTTAAATATGATTTTTTGAAATTTTTACGATTCATTACGTCCTGTATATTAACATAGAGTGTGTGTCCCGTAATGTGTACAGCGATTGTGCGGTTCATTCATTATAATATGCGGTTATGAATAATATATCACTATCTCTCTCGCTATCAGGCGTTGCCATTCTCTCTCTCTCTCTCTCTCTCTCTCTCTCTCTCTCTCGTCAATCCCTGGGATCTGTTAGCGATTGTCTTAATATGTTTTTTGAGAACTTAATATACAGTACAGTCGCACAGGTATTGTCAATGTATTGATGAGACAGCTATCTGTGCCGCACCTGACATCTCATTCCCATTAATACATAATGTGTTTGACTTTTATTTACAGTAATTTTCATACAAAAAAGCAATAAAACTATTTTTTAATCAGAAAACACTATGTGTTTGAAATGAAGCGATAACTCTATACATAAAGCCATTGATTTTACATATATTTAACCGTTTAGTTACTTAACCAATATTTCACAACACGTATGAAATTGCACACCAATTGGGTGTCAATTAGTGGTGTGTTTTTCACTGTATTTTATATACTTTTTTAATCGCTATTTGTTTTAAAACAGTTATTCAAAGTTATAAAAAGTATATTAAAAAAGTTGTGTTGAATTTCAATGGAAAATCAATGGGAGAGCGAAATAAATTGAAAATCTAATCAAATAAAACGGATAAATGATTAGAAATACAGTATTTATATGTTTTATCAAAATAAACGTTTCAGTGCTAGTCATCAAAAAATCATGCAATATTTGTGTTATGAGATGTACAGTGTATTGCTGTCCCCCAACACTGCGATACCCATTCCCTCCCATTTTTACATCAATTTAAGACCATTTCCTTTCACTTATGGATGAAATTTCATTTTTTGTATTGATTTTTCAATTTTAATTAGGGTTTACGTGCAGTCAATACCAACACTGCGATACCCATTCCCTCCCATTTTTACATCAATTTAAGACCATTTCCTTTCACTTATGGATGAAATTTCATTTTTTGTATTGATTTTTCAATTTTAATTAGGGTTTACGTGCAGTCAATGCATTTAAAACTTAATATTTTCATGTCATGTAATGCTCTAGTAATGAATGAATAGCTATTATTTCATTATAACGTGAATATAAAGATCCTGTGTTTAAGTAGAGTATAGTTTGTATTTATCTGATGATAATTTTAGTGGTCGTTAAGCAATATTGAGATACATATCGTGGTTTTGTTAGGGTTTATGTATGTATTTTCTGTGTACAAAATGCAAGTAATATATAGTTTATGACAATATGTTTAGGAATATTCCGTACGATTGCATCGGAAAATAACAATATTTGTATTTTTGGACAAATAATTTAATGTTTGTTTTATTGCTTTATTAATAGAGTTATAGTTTTTGTTTTGTTTGTCTCTATCTTTCCCTCAATTACTTAAGAAATAGTTTTATTTATTTTCCCAAATATTTGGCTTAATTTTATAAGACATTATAATTGATATATTTTATTGGGTATTAAACTTACGGTTCGTTACACTAAACACTTTACAGGAATATAATTTTGTAAATAAAATTTGTTATAAAAATTGTGTTCATTTTATTACTTTTTAAAAAACTTTTTACATTTACTTTAAAAATTTGAGACATTTTTTGAGCACACATTTCACGGCATCGTTGGCGTGAAGGGAAGGGATGTGCGAACTGATAGCTGAAGGTTTTTGTCGAGTATTTGTTAAATATATGACTATATTTCTCACAAATTGGTGTTTAGTATTGAAAACTATTTGATTTGGTATTTGAGATGCGCTTAAAATGATTGGTTTTTTGCTTTTTTATGAATAACTGTTTATTTAGTAGTTTTTCACTACTAGTCATGTAAATAGTTTGAATAACTTGTTATATAAATTAGACTAGTATTAGATATCGATATAATTGCCGGTATTCCCGCCCCGGGGTGGGGGACGAGTTCACAGACAATTATTAAATAGTTTGATATGTATTTTAAACGCTTTTCAATTGATAATAATTACTGTCATCTCATTTAACACAGATATCCGGGCACTACAACCGATGCCATAAACATGGGTTCGTATAACTATCTGGGATTCGCCGAGAATACCGGCGTAAACGTCGGCAAAGTGGAGGACACGGTCGGGAAGTACGCGGTGGGCGTCGGCACCACTCGTCACGAGTGCGGTACGGGTTTTACAACCAATTTAATGCCCCCAAAAACAGTCATTAATGACAAAATTGATTCACAATTTTAGGCACAATCGATACACAGCAAGAGTTGGAGAGCCGTTTGGCCGAGTATTTGGGCGTCGAGTCTAGCATTGTGTTCGGTATGGGCTTCGCGACCAACGCGGCTAATCTGCCGACACTGGCCGGCAAGGGATCGCTGATCATCAGCGATGAGTACAATCACGCGTCGCTAATACTCGGGTGTAGGAAATCGGGCGCCTCTATAGCGGTGTTTAAACACAACGGTATTTACAAAAATATAATTGTATTTTCAAACCTAATTTTAATCGCATTTCATAGACATGAAGGACTTGGAGAGCAAAATACGATTGAATATAATCGCCGGTCAGCGGCGGACACACCGGCCGTGGAAGAAGATAATCATTGTGGTGGAGGGCATCTACAGTATGGAGGGCACGATCATAGACCTGCCGGAAGTGATTCGGCTGAAGAAGAAGTACCGCTGCTATGTATACCTCGATGAGGCGCACAGTATCGGCGCTATTGGACGCCGCGGTCGAGGGGTTACCGACTATTTCGGGTGCGATCCGCGCGACATCGACCTACTTATGGGCACTTTTACCAAGAGTTTTGGCGCCGCCGGAGGCTATATCGCCGGCCGTAAAGAGATTATCGATTACATTCGGCAGGTGAGTGTTCGCCGGCGAATGCGGTTGTAATACTCGGGCACACAGCGGGCTGTCTATGACAGGCAATAATTGCAATAATACCCGCGGCTGCCGTGACTACTACCATACGCACCGGGATTTTCGTGTGTAATTTATGAATAATCTAATGCTTTGTTTTGTAGGCAAGAAACGCATTGACCAATTGGCCAGAAATTCCCGATACTTCCGGCGGCGACTCAAACAATTGGGTTTTGTAGTGCTCGGCGACGACGACTCACCCGTAGTACCCGTTATGATATACTTTTTGTCTAAGATATCGTAAGTATACTGTATTTTGATTTTTGTTATTAAAATTTATAACACAATTTTGTTTTGGTCTTCAGATGTATCATACGTTCAGTGGTGACCAAAGGGGTCGGTTTAGTGGGCGCCGGCTTTCCCGCCACATCCCTATCCACCGGACGCGTCCGCTTCTGTGTGTCCGCCTCTCACACGAAACAAATGCTGGACAAAGTGCTGGACGTGATGGACGAGATCGGCGATCGGGTGTCCGTCAAGTACTCAAAGCTACCAAAAAGCGATGAGATTATTGTTTATTAACATTTGGTGTTGAGATTGAAAATTATAGCACATTTCGAGACCGAAGCAAAAACAATGTTATATTTGATTAACAATTCAATTATAATAAGCCATAAGAACTACTTTGTCAATGAAATTCCAGTTTTTATTATTATTATTACAATTATAACTATAATTATTATTAATTATTATTAATATAAAAAATTTATAATTAATTATTATTAATATAAAAAATTTATAATTAATTATTATTAATATAAAAAATTTATAATTAATTATCGAAATATTGTATTTTAATCGATTGAGTGATGCGTTTAAATGATATTTAATGTCATTATTATATAATAATTCACATTCAGATTGTAATACAAGTCATTCCCTTTCAGTTGTGACATATTTTTATGAGAAATAATGTTTTTTTCTCCGTTTTTTTTTTGTTTTGTTAATTACAATAATAGTGTGTTTTAATGCAATATAAGGCTATTATTATGATATATATATATTTTTTGATAAAATAAGCTTTTCATGTGTTTTTATTATAAAAAATTAATTCCCGTTTTATTTACGAGTGAATTGAGAAAAAATTAAATACAAATAAATAAAAACCATTGGTTTTCACGCAATGAATATGTATTAAATAATTGTACGCAAGAGTGGAGTCATAGGAAAAACAAAATATGGTTCAAATACTACATATCAATGATATCGGTTAAAGACATCGGATTAAATTATGGTAAAAAATAACAACCAATATATGCTTTTTTCAGATACAAATCCATACAAAAAAATTGTGTTTCAATTGTTATTCCTATCGTTATATCAATATATGAAATGTCTTTAAATGTCTGATTCTTTCGCCGTTTTTGTCGCCAATTATTTTCATTTCAAACTGAATTTTCCCGTCAATTGTAACCTAACGTTAGGCTGCGGTCCAAACACTTCACTCGCATTAGTTATCATTAGTTCAATGGCTCTGATCTTTTGGATGGCATTGTATTGCAGCTCAACGCTAGCCGTCTCTCTATATGTGAACAAATTTATGGCATTACATAACATAACAAACTGAGAGAGAGAGAGAGAGAGTACGAGAGAAATATTTTTCGCATTAAATATTATACATTTAAGAGCACTGAGAATATTAATGTAGAAAAAGCAAATGAAATGCTTTATTGAATGCATTGTGCATAACATACATACACACNGAGAGAGAGAGAGAGAGAGAGAGAGAGAGCTGACATTAATGAGAAGCAAAAGTAGATACGAGATACAAAAAAGCAAAGATGGTAAGTATAACATCGCTATAATAATTCAAACAAAACATACAGATTCTGTAATAATTCTGTACAGTATATACACGCAAAAAGTGAGCGCAAAAATGCTTAATAATAATCAAAATGTAAGAAAAAATTTCTAATTTTGTTGAAAAAATAATTCGCATTGTTTTTAACGTTGAGTTTTACGACGAAAGCGCTTGAAGTGCTTTCGCTATTTCTATTATAACATTTTTTTCTAGAAAAAACACGGAATATTCTCTCAGTGTATATATACTTAGTCTAATAATTTTACAGAATATTCTGTGTGTATGTATGTTATGCACAATGCATTCAATAAAGCATTTCATTTGCTTTTTCTACATTAATATTCTCAGTGCTCTTAAATGTATAATATTTAATGCGAAAAATATTTCTCTCGTACTTTCTCTTTACTGCACAGAATTTAATGCTGTTTTCGCTCAAAATTAATGAACAGAATATTCTGTAATACAAATATGCATACGTTATATATACAGCACAGTCTACTCACATATTCATTAAAAACATACACACAATACATAGCTCCTGGTAGTAGTGAGCATTATATGGCACATTCACTTACATGGGTTTGAATATAATCGTGGTGAACTGAACGGCCAGAGTCGACTCGGTTGTCTCCACTTCCCTCTTATGCAGCGCTAATCTCTTCAAGTGGTGCATCAGATACGAGACAACTATGAAATGGTCGGCCGGCAACTGATTGACCACTTCTCGCAACTCAAATATGATGATAATGGCGCCGGACTTAGTGTAGGGCACCTTCCGTTGGGGCCACTCTTTGGCGATGCGGATCAGCTCCAGCTGTAGCTCCGCGGCCAACAACGGTGTCGGCAGCTATTCATCATCGGATTTGTTATCATATGATATAAACAATACGGAAATAACACACAAACAGAAAGACCGTAACACATAGTAACTGAAACGGACGGTGCGTTTAGGGCCACACATACAGTACACAAACACATGTCTTCGCACAGATATCAAGACAAATGATATATCGATATCAATATTTTGCTATCAAAACGCAAACACATGAACAAAATCAAGCGACAAAAGCAAACAATACTTTTGAATAATGTATGGGAAGAAAACAAAAACAGACGCAAAAATATTTATATGTATTCAATATATTTATTCCTTTAGTTTTGGTGTTGTTTTCCTGTATTTTTCTATTAAATACAGAATCGGAGACAGAATAACAATATTTATATACGGATTCCGTGAATATATCCCTCCATTATATATACGTGTGTTTTTCATGAGTGATATTCCTTACGCTTTTGACTTATTTTTGTGTTGGATTTTACAGAATATATTGATAAACATATATAACATATACAATATATTCTCACAGAATATATACACATTAAACACATATAGTTCTACACAACATATACAATATTATAAATACAGAGTATTTCATACTTTATTCAAATATATTTTGAGCACATCTGTGATGTCGTTATGACTACAATATCTGAGATCAATAAACTGCGGACCGCATTGAAAACTGGCGCAAATCTGTGCCACTCGTCCGGCGTTGCCGTTAGCCCTGTATATGCCCTTCAATTTGCTGAACGGACGCCTTTCCAGTTCACTGATACACGTGTGCATCACTTGCGGGACACCGCCGACGGCACACACGTCCAGTCCTACGCCAAACACCGGCACTTTTGGCCGAAGTGAACCCCCGGTCGGGCAACGGATCACCAGAAATCTAATGCACTTTCGGTGACCAATTAGACCGCACTATATATAAAGTAGAAGAGAGAGAGAGAGAGAGAGAGAGAGTCAATAATCATCTTGGTTAATTTTATATGACATGTAATTTGTATAATTAGCTACTGATTAACAATTTATTAAAACATTTCAAAGTCTTGGGCTTAGGATTCAATCGGCAAACTAATTCACCATTTGATGGCCGAGTGTTTGGACTGATTTTAACTGATGGTTATTTCATATGTATTATTAATTAGTCTGTTATTGATTAGTCCAATGGGTCTTAAGATCTAACATAGGGATGGTTTTAATCGTTGTGAATTAGGCTTAAGTATATCCATTGTATGCCATTTGTATGTAATTACATGACATGGAAACTATCCGTATTTAAAGCAATCGTTTTAATTAGTGATGCATTTTTGAGTATTAAATAAATTCAAAAACATTAGTAAAACATAAGAGAGTTTTGTTGTAATTATTATAATAACGACTGAAAAGTTAATGTAATATATTATTTGACATTTTGAAAACACATTTCTCTATTGACTTTTGCAACGCAAACAATGGTTACATGTATTGTATGTTTAGACAACAAAAATCAATGAAAAATGTTTTTCCAACTCGTGTTTAATTCAATCAGTTTTGTCTGAAAAATGAAACACAACTCTAGTGTATAATTTATATTCATATAATTTTCTGGAAAAACATTTTTACAAAACATGTAATTTTGTTTATCAAAAATAATTTTTCGAGAATCACCATGTTAGTCAATTATTTAAATTGGTTGGGGCATAATTATTTTTCATACATTTATAATAAATGAGTGTTAACACTAGTAAATTTTACTTGATCATACATGTAAATAAATTTAATTTAATTGTATTTTATTTATTTTACTTTATATATTCCAGTATAACTACAGTATAACTATTTTTATTATGCTTTTATAATATGTAAATATTGTGAATTAAATACATAACTAATTGTAAATATTTACTCACTAGATTACCAGTACTTATTAATTAATTTCTAAAATACCATTAATCATGTGGATTAAGCGTGATAATAACCTAGCTACATTATCAAAAATAGTTATCATTAAAAGTAAATCCCAATAAAATAATCGACATATTTCTCAGACATAACAAACAATAAGCAAACATAAGAGACGAGACAAACATAATATATAAATATTAAATAAAACTTGAAAACAGATTTCCACTTATGTTTTCCTATATCTCACACATATTTTGAGCCCAAAAGTGATAACAATTGCCTTAAATAGAGATTTATTTATTAGTTTTTTGTTGAAGTGTTTGTAGAGAAGCTCTCGAGTAATTCACTCGTAAAGCCTATCATCTGTTAAATGTGTGACATTTTTTCGCTGATTTCTCTCCTATTATAACCACTTTTCAATTATTTATAAGAAATTTAATTAAATTTTTAAACATTTATAAAATTAATCACGTTTTTAATAACAAACACTTAATTGCTTATTAATTCTTTAATAATACTGATTATGTGTGTATTTTAATAAATGACTTGAATATTAACCTTATAATTAAATTATGGATTTTATGTAGAATTTACCAAATGGTAAATAAAGTAATAAATTTTGTAATTTAAATTAATTTAATTAAAGTATTATTAGGGATATTAATTGAATAAATTACCAGATTATGATTTTCATGTCCATATCGACCAAAAATATAATAAAACATTTCTATAAATTACTATAATTTAAAGTAAAATAAATCTCAAACAAAACTCTATCACACTTTTGTGAAATTACTTTTAGAAACCCATTATTAAAACTTAAAACATTAAATTATTTTTAAGTAAAACATACTCTCGATTAACACGTTGTCAGAAAAATTCTGGTATAATAATAATAATAATAATTCATTTGCAAAATACATATATATTTAATCAAAAATGAGTGAAACTTTTAATGACAACTCTATTATATTTGGCTAACATTTAACATAACAAGTGATTCCTGTATTTGACATATTTTTTGAGAGATAATGCATTTTGAAACGTTAATTACGATATCAATTATACAGAAATGGCACAGATTTGCGCCAGTTTTCAATGCGGTCCGCAGTTTATTGATCTCAGATATTGTAGTCATAACGACATCACAGATGTGCTCAAAATATATTTGAATAAAGTATGAAATACTCTGTATTTATATATCTATGTTGTGTAGGAATATATGTGTTTAATGTGTATATATTCTGTGAAAATATATTGTATATGTTATATATGTTTATCAATATATTCTGCGAAATCCAACACAAAAAATAAGTCAAAAGCCTAAGGAATATCACTCATGAAAAACACACGTATATATAATGGAGGGATATATTCACGGAATCCGTATATAAATATTGTTATTCTGTCTCCGATTCTGTGTTTAATAGAAAAATACAGGAAAAACAACACCAAAACTAAAGGAATAAATATATTGAATACATATAAATATTTTTGCGTCTGTTTTTGTTTTCTTCCCATACATTATTCAAAAGTATTGTTTGCTTTTGTCGGTAGACTTTGTTCATGTGTTTGCGTTTTGATAGCAAAATATTGATATCGATATATCATTTGTCTTGATATCTGTGCGAAGACGTGGTGTTTGTGTACTGTATGTGTGGCCCTAAACGCACCGTCCGTTTCAGTTACTATGTGTTACGGTCTTTCTGTTTGTGTGTTATTTCCGTATTGTTTATATAATTTTGATAACAAATCCGATGATGAATAGCTGCCGACACCGTTGTTGGCCGCGGAGCTACAGCTGGAGCTGATCCGTATCGCCAAAGAGTGGCCCCAACGGAAGGTGCCCTACACTAAGTCCGGCGCGATTATCATCATATTTGAGTTGCGAGAAGTGGTCAATCAGTTGCCGGCCAACCATTTCATAGTTGTCTCGTATCTGATGCACCACTTGAAGAGATTAGCGCTGCATAAGAGGGAAGTGGAGACAACCGAGTCGACTCTGGCCGTACAGTTCACCACGATTATATTCAAACCCATGTAAGTGAATGTGCAATATAATGTCACTACCACCAGGAGCTATGTATTGTGTGTGTATTTAATGAATATGAGAGTAGACTGTGCTGTATATATAACGTATGCATATTTGTATTACAGAATATTCTGTTCATTAATTTTGAGCGAAAACAGCATTAAATTCTGTGCAGTAAAGAGAAAGTACGAGAGAAATATTTTTCG